GCTAACATTGTTATCTTTTCACAAAAAAAACAGCTGAACATGAGAGGTTTTTGGACCAATTTTGTGTTCTCCATTCTTTAAGCACCGGTTTGAGCACCGTTTGAGCACCGGCACCGTTTCAAAAGTTTCACCGATTTGGCACCGATATCAGATAAAACCTAAACGATACCCATCCCTACTGGGAACACTGGGTGAATGTATTTTTAACAGGTAAAGATAAGAAATACAAAACAAGTCCCAGAAGTATATTGAGAGCTTGAAAAAAGAAGTTTTAAATTCTCATCCAAGTTTTAAATTCTCACCCAAGAGATTTTTTTCAGTTCTAAAACAAATGGTTGTGTCTCAGGTATTTAACCCCTAATAGTTTTTCTCAGGAGGTTCTGAGGGTTGTTGATCATGCGAGTCATCACATTAGCCAAGATGTGAAGAAAACAAGATGTGGGCCATTACCATCATATGAGTTTAAGGTTGAGACCTTGCCTGAACACTTCCATTTAGCAAAGCTTCAAAGATTGTGCAAAGGTTGTTACTGTGAAAGACCATCGTTGAACGGAGGTGGTGGATTAGAACACCAGCTGTCAGCCACCTACACTTGAGATCCTATTCGGGCACTTCAACCTCCACTCACACCTTGCCTCAGGTAACCTCAGCAGGTCACATGACAGAATGGTGAAACAGACTCTGCAAGTGAAAAGGCAAAAAGGCTCAAGTGATCGAACCCCCAGTTTCTACGCCCCCTAAAACGGGTCAGTGTCGGTAATGTTTTGACTTATTAATTGTTGAGCGTGGCGCTTCTCAATGCCCGATCTATGACAAATAAAACGTTCTTATTGAATGATCTTATTCTTTCCAAAAAACGGGACTTATTATTTTTAACTGAAACCTGCCAGCGTGATGGTGACTATTCTTCCCTTATCGAACTTTGCCCGGGCGGGTACTCCTTTGTCAGTCGGCCGCAGACTTCTGGTCGTGGCGGAGGACTGGCTGTGGTGTATCGAAACTGGTTTCACTGTCGCTCATTGATGGTTGAAAAAATGTCAACGTTCGAACTACAGCTGGTTAAAATTGGAATTAAAGATCCGTGTTACTGTGCTGTAGTTTATTGTCCACCTGGACCTAACGGTCAATTTTTAAAGGAATTCAGTAACTTTTTATCTTTCATCTTGAAGTTATATTAAAACTATTAAAACTAGACTAGCCCCCTGTTACAAAACCCTTGCCCTGGATAAACTACAGCATTCGCTGTTTAAAGCCTGTCTGTCGTAAAACTGAGCATTTGTGGAGAAAGACTTGTTTACATCTCTTTCATTTAAAAGACCTTTTAGTTTCCTTTAACGCTTCAATTCGTGATGCAAGGGCTGCTTATTTTTCAAACCTAGTGTCTAAGAGCAGAGGTAACCCTAAGGTTTTATTTGACACTATTAGGGATATTGTTGCTCCGGCTTCTGCTGCTGTCCCAATTTCTTCGAATGAAGACTGTGAAACTTTTCTTTCCTTTTTGTTGAAAAGGTTAGCAATGTAAGGAGCAACATCTCTCCCTCCATGTACCATTTGCCTGTTCCGATTTTACTTAAGCCTGTCAGATTTGAAAGATTTTCACCAGTGTCTTTACCTGAGTTGTTGAAGCTGGTTACTTCAATTAGATCATCCTCCTGCCCCCTTGATATTTTATCTGGGTCTTTGTTCAAAAATGTTTTTGAGTCTATTGATCCTAGTGTTCTTAAAATTATTAATGCATCTCTACTCTCTGGTCAGGTCCCTGGTTACTGTAAAAGTGCTGTCATTCACCCACTTTTAAAAAAGCCTAAACTTGATCCTTCTTTGCTTTCCAGTTACAGACCTATCTAAAAATTGCCTTTTATTGCCAAGATTTTAGAAAAGGTTGTGGCCAAGCAACTCACAGTTGTTCTAGATGAACATAACATTCTTGATAAATTTCAATCTGGCTTTCGTAAGGCTCACTCTACCGAAACTGCACTTCTTAGAGTGTCTAATGATATTTTGATGAATTATGATGCTGGAGAGTGCACTGTTTTGATGTTGCTGGATCTGACCTCTGCTTTTGACACTGTTGATCATCTTATTTTGTTATATAGATTAAACCACTGGGTGGGTGTATCAGGTACCGCATTGAAATGGTTTAAATCCTATTTGTCAAATCGATCTTTCTCTGTGGCTACCTCTAAGTTCAGATCCTCCGTCAGCTCTCTTGCCTATGGGGTGCCTCAGGGCTCTGTCTTGGGACTGTTATTGTTTTTGTTGTATTTACTCCCTCTTCTGCAACTTCTTA